CCCGCGAGGGATGCGCGGTGAGTGGCTCCTGCCCTGGCTGAAGTGGTGCGGCTGCACGGTGGTGGGAATTTGGGAGCACCGGGGATCCCTTGCTGGTGAATTCAACCCTGAGCAGGGTTCCCCCAAAGCGGTGGGATTCATCCGGCACCCGGCTGTCTGCCTGCAGCCTGCCGGTGCCCAAATAACCCTCTCGCCTTCCCGGCTGGGGTGGGAAAGGAGCCCTTAACCACCCGCCCAGCCAGTTTCACCGATCCCAAATCCTGAAAGGAACCAGTTGGGAACCAGTCCTATAATGAGGTGCCTCTGGATACAGGGCCCGTCGCCGGCTGGGGTGGCTATAAAAGGGAGCGCCGGGACGCGCGCCCGGCAGTCGGCTCCGGCTCTTGGCAATGTGGGGTGGCTCCCGCACCGTCTGGAAGAGGAGGTTCAGCTGCTGTGAGTGCGTGGGGGAGTGTGAGCCTCCGAGCAGGGGCTTGCCGGGGGGGTGGGCAGCTCTGCACCCCCAGTTTAGTGCTGGGAGGGTGCCAAAGCTTCGCTCCCCACCTCCCTGAGCCCTCTGCCGGGGCCTGGCTGGGGAGGGAGGTGAGCGCCCGCGCGAGGAGGGCAGGGCAATGGTAGGCGCACCCCAGCTGGCGACGTCCCCCACGCTGCGGGGACAAGAGTGAGGAGCCAGAGGTCCCCGGAGCTGTCCTGCAACGGGGCGAGGATGGACCCTGTGGCCCTGCTGTGTCCTGGGTTGGCTGGCACCGAGCCGGAGCGGGGTGCGGTGAGAGCAGACCCTTGTGCAGCCCCGGCCAGGTCGGGGCGAGGACCGCGGGGGCTCCCCAGGCAGCTCAGCAGTGCGGGGAGGGAGGAGGGAGGATGGGGCTGGGCGCAGGGGCATGTTTCTGGGGAGCAGCGACAACATGCCGCCATCGTCCGAGCATCCTCCGCACCAGGCAGGGGCTGCAGGGACCCTCCGGAGAGGGATCCCTGGGCAGGGGGGCTGTAACTCCGCAGGGCGGTGGGGAGAGCGGCTTCGGGTATGGCTGGGGGGGGGGGGGGGGGGGGGGGGGGGG